TATCGTATTAAGTAATTATTAGATATTTTAATTGCCTGTATGTTGGCCTGGCCAGTTGGCTGAATTAACATACCTAGGTAACATTGCTGGCGTCGCATTCGAGCAATATCACAAAAATTGGTTTTTAGAAAAAACGACTTTTGTAGATCAATGGGTACTGTGATACCGGATATGATATAATAAGTTAGCCTGTGCTAAGAACTGCAACATAGACGACTGAAAGCACGTGGTAAGGTAAGTTAGCCTATTGTAAGTTGGTGAGCTTCATCTGCCGAAGGCACTGCACAGCTTTTCATTACTAATTGGTACATAATTTACGTTTCCATTGTTTACTGGCAGTAAATGGTAAATATTTTTCATGTTTCGGCAAAAAATTGGGGGTCGACCTATACATGGGTAATAGTTTCGTTAGGTTGAATCCGTGCATGATGGGAAGGGCTAGGAGAAACTTTTAGATTTAGACATGAAAAATATATACCAGTTACTGCCAGTAAACAATGGAAACGTAAAATATGTACCAATTAGTAATGAAAAGTTGTGCAGTGCCTTCAGCAGATAAAGCTCACCAACTTACAATAGGCTAACTTACCTTACCACGTGCTTTCAGTAGTCTATGTTGAAGCTCTTAGCACAGGCTAACTTATCATATCATATACGATATCACAGTTCTTATTGATCTACAAAAAATACTTGTAATTAAAACCTTTTAGATATTTCACACTTAATATAATACCCGGTAATCCACCTCAACCTCATATTGTTTACAACGATGCACGACGCACCACCAGCTGTTGAGTATCAGTTAGATGGTACGCATTTTTCGAATCGTTTTCAGTTAAAAAACTGTTACATCCCAAGTATATTTTACCTTAACTATGCCTGAATGACTATATTCTCAGAAATAGATAGTAGTTTTGCTGAAACGTGATGTATTTCAATGTAAAATAGGATAAAATACATGACGAAAACAAAAGACTTTACCTAACCTTCCGATGTTCAAGAGATGTTACTCTTTTTTTTAAGTTTTCGGTTAAAATACTGTTATATTACAATGATATTCTATTCATACTGTGCTTGATATAATGCATTCACGGAAATTTAATATTTTTGCTGAAATGACGTACGTATTACAGTGGAAAGTGGGATAAAATCGTGACGAAAACAATCGGCTTTCGCTTTCTTTCGTTTTTCAAAAGATGTTACCGTAATTGCTTTTTGAATGGTTTTCAGTTAAAAAACTGTTGTATTACAATAATATTCCCTCCTAATTGACTTGAATAAATACTTGAATGGAAATATACAATATTTTTGCTGAAACTACCTGCGTTTCAGTGTGAAGTGTCGTAATAATAAATGGTAAACAATTTGCCTTCGGCGCTCGGTGTTTCAGGCACAGCGACCCTCAGGTTATAGGACGTAGAGTGATTTTAGTGAAGGTTTTCTGAAATGGGTTTTATATGCCATAAAATAAGGTGCTTTATTACCCTAATTTGTTGTTCTATTACCCTCAAAAACTTGGATCGACCAATAAACGAAGTATGTCATAAATTAATGATTTCTTGGTAAAAAAAATCAGGGTCTACCTATAAACGAGGTAGAATTATAAACGAGTATATACGGTAGATACAAATTTTCTCATCCTCGAAAAAATCGCACATCCCCAGAATTTTTTGGGATACTGGAGAAAGTCTTTCAGGAGTCTATGCTACACATCTTGCGTAGACACTGACTCTCCCATTACATTTGGGCTGTGGTCACAAGCAAAAATATTTATGGCTAGCGAAAAAGTATATAAACTTATTCACAGCATCTATTCTAATTGTGCTCAAAAGATGATTTTCATGCCATAATTCCTAAATATATTTCTCTGCAAGTCTGATTCGATAAAAGATCCTTAGACAAAATATTTTGAATCCATATAATGATGGGGACTTCATTATTTTATAAAAAAAATTTAAGAAATACTGATACAGTAAAGCCTCGAATAACGACGGTAAGGTGTCCTCCAATAATGCGGTGTAAGGTGAATCAATAATTAACATTAAAATAAAGCAATAATAATGAGATACATTCCCTAGTCTGACCTTTTCATATCTTTTGTGTGGCTTTTTACACTCTTTTCCCCCCAAGCAGTAAAATAGATGAACAATTGAAACTACATGATGCCCAGATAATTCGCGGATTTTTATTTTGCGGTCCTCTATTATTCGCGGATGACACCCTGGATGTGCTCAAGAATGTCTGCGGGGAGTTTAAAAGTTGCCGTCATTTTTGTGGCCAGAACAGGGAGACATTCGTTCTAGAGACAGTAATTTCCTTTACCAGTATTGTATATAATAATAATAATAATAAACGGTTTATTGAAAAAGTTTGCAGCCCGAAGGCTGAAAATATACATTGGACATAAATGACTTATTACATACATTGGTGGTTTAATAAAAGCCTTCATTAGAGAAAGGTGAAGGAACATACAATGAACATACAGAGTAATGTTTACACACGTAGATCATGTGAGCTGAGGTGTTGAACAGCAGACACGTAGTGTAGTAACTCCCTCACAGATGGCGTTATGAGGGGCATCACGTGGAGTACTAGTTCCCTCACAGGTAGTGTTATGAGGGGCTTGACGTGGTGTAGTAATTCCCTCACAGATGGTGTTACAAGGGGCCTGATGATGTAGTAGTTACCTCACAGATGGTGTATGAGGGGCCTGATGATGTAGTAATTCCCTCACAGATGGTGTTATGAGGGGCATCACATGGCATAGTAATTCCCTCACAGATGGTGTTATGAGGGGCATCACGTGGTGTAGTAATTCCCTCACAGATGGTGTTATGAGGAACTTCACATGATGCTGTAGCAACTCATTCACTACGTGGTGTCGTAGCATCATGGGGACACCACGTGGTCACAGGACCTCACTCACTCAAGTGGGTGAGGTGTGGTCCCAGGCTTCTCTATCGTGGAGTCTCAGGGGAATTATCACTGGGTACCTGGGACCTCACTGTGTGAAGGTTTGCTTGGGTAAGACTCAACTGCCGAGTTGTTTTTCGCTGACTTAAGCACTGTTCACCACTATTCAACACTGGTTCCATTCCTTTCCCAAATGAAATAGTAACTTCTGGCGAAACTTGTTGATATTCCGGTGAGGAGGAGGGTTCAGGGGAGGGAGTTGGTATGGGCCAACATAACATTTGACGTGGCTGCTGCTGAGCAGCGTCAGGTGCGTCTGACCCGTCTTGACCCGTCAGTGGTCAAGTGTGTGTGTGTGTGTAGACACTACACACAAAACAAATACAAATAAATAATACAGTAGTCCCTCAGTTAACGAACGGTTTGATTAACGAAATTTCGGTTAACAGAGTACCTCCCATAAGGATCTTCAATTCGGTTAACGAATATAACTTCGATTAACGAAATCCTTACGAACAACACGTTTCATTGTGAGCATCAGCCGATCAGCTGATGGGCTAGTCTGCCAATTCAGTACAGGTTGACAATCCCTTCTCCGAAATCCTTGGGGCCAGAGGCATTTCGGAATTTTTCGGTTTTCAGATTTTTTTTTTTTTTTTATATACAGTTTTACCCCGCTTAACGCGCTTTCACTTAACGCGTTTTCGCATATACGCGGTGCCTTGCCAAAGCTGAACTTTCACTTAACGCGGGTTTTTTCCACATATACGCGGTGAGTGTCCGAGACGCTATTTTTAGATTTGCCCCACCCGCCACCCTGCCTGACTGCCTGTTTTAGCTCATAAAATTCATACAAATTACCAGGCCAGAATATAATTTACATTGCTGGAATTCTTATAATTTGGTGATCATTTTGAATATAAACATCATATATTTTGCTTTAAACTTACAATTTTTAGATAAAAATTTTTCTCTAGGTAACTATGGTATCTTTTGTCCAAAATATATGACATTTATATTCAAAATATTCCTGGTCTTACAAGGAATCCAGCAATGTCAATTATATTATCCTAACTTTAGTTTGAGGTATTATTTATTAAAATTTAGTGGTTATCCCACACATCTCCTTGGGACGGTTGGTGGGGGGTGGGGGGGAGGGAGGGACCAACCGACCATCTGTTACCGGTGAAGAATTATTATTTTTTTTTATTAACTGAAGATATTTGTTTTAGCTCATAAAATTCATACAAATTACCCGGTCAGAATATAATTTACATTGCTGGAATTCTTATAATTTGGTGATCATTTTGAATATAAACATCATATATTTTGCTTTAAACTTACAATTTTTAGATAAAAATTTTTCTCTAGGTAACTATGGTATCTTTTGTCCAAAATATATGACATTTATATTCAAAATATTCCTGGTCTTACAAGGAATCCAGCAATGTCAATTATATTATCCTAACTTTAATCTGAGGTATTATTTAATACTAAATGTTAAAAACTCTGGAAGGGAGGATTGGTGGGGGGTGGGGGGGAGGGTTGGGACTGACCGCGCGGTTGGAAGAGGGGGGGAGGCAAGGTGGGGTACTTTGATTGACAGATAGTGTCGTGAAGATTATTTTTTTTTTTATTAACTGAAGATATTTGTTTTAGCTCATAAAATTCATACAAATTACCCGGTCAGAATATAATTTACATTGCTGGAATTCTTATAATTTGGTGATCATTTTGAATATAAACATCATATATTTTGCTTTAAACTTACAATTTTTAGATAAAATTTTTCTCTAGGTAACTATGT